GCGGTCTTCAGCCTGGTCACCTTGCAGCCTCCAGATGTCACCTCCAAATACCCAGAAGTTGCCCCAGAAGGCAGGGTGCCATTCCACCTTCAGCCACCAGGGGGTGCCACAGACAGAACTTTCTAGAGCATGGGCAGAGTGGGAAAGGAGCCCCAGAGCTGGGCTCCTCCCTGTCTGTGCAGTGGGAGGAGTGGCCATGCCGCCTCAGAGGCCGTCTTGGGGGAGTGTGTGGCCAGCACAGGGCGAGGCCCCCGTGGAGGTGGACAGTGTCTCACTGCTGGCTGCTCCGGAGATCCCCAGCTGCTCAAACCACCACGAGGGCAGCTCAGCCCTGCGTGCCTGTCCCACCTCAGGGCCCCACTGGAGGGACGGCTGGCTTAACAGTTTATGGATTGATGTGTATATGTACATACATATTAGAAAGACGTGAGCTTGCAACTATGATACAAATACCTTTTTAAAATAAATCTATTCAAGTGGGGAAAATAAAAGCATTCATGTAAGAGAAATACAAGACAAAGAATGGTGGGTCTGGGGGTTGGCAGGAGTACAGATGAGAAAACGGCTCAAGATGACAGTGTCCCAGACGCTACCATGCACATGAAGGTCTATCAGTGAAAAGCTGCTGCCCCTGGGCTCCCACACCCTCCATGGCTCCCGCCTGCCACCGGGGAAAAAGGCCTGTTCCTCAGTTTGGTGTCTGAGGCCACTGCCCTGCTCCGCCTGCCAGCTCTGCCCAGCTCACCACCTCCATTTCTGCCCCATCAACCTTGGCTGTTCGCTGGGCTCACGTCCCCTCCAGCCTCCTGGCCTTTGCGAGGGCTGATCCTCCGGCTGCAATCTTCTTCCTGGCTAACTCCCGTCCACCCTGCATCTCAATGCCACCTCTTCCGGGAAGCCCACCCCGACCGCTCTCGGGAGGCTGCGCACAGCTACCTGCCCAAGCTGTTCGTGCCAGGTACCCCCTGCCCCCAGCCAAGGGACTGGCGCGCGGCAGACGCTCGCGTCGGGGGATGGGTGCGAGGTGGCGGAGAAAGGGAGGTGACTTGGGCGCGGGTGGACTCACCCATGACCTCCAGCTGCACGTGCATGAAGCTCTCGGCCTCATCCTGGAGGCTGCTGTGCGCCCGCAGCGGCACTGGCAGGAAGCCATATACCTCCTTGTTGCAGACGTACATCTGGACCTCTGGGGCCAAGGAAACAACAATCAGGAGTGCAAACGGCAGGGCGCCGGGGTGGCTCAGCCGGTTGAGTGCCCGACTTCGGCTCAGGTGGTGATCTCGCGGTCCGTGGGTTCGAGTCCCGCGTCAGGCTCTGTGCTGAGAGCTCAGAGCTTGAAGCCTGCTTCGGATGCTGTGCCTCCCTCCGTCTTTCTCTGCCCCTCCCCTGCTCGCACTCTGTCTCTCTCTCTCTCAAAAATAAATAAACGTTAAAACGAATTATTAAAAAAAAAAAAAAAAAGTGCAAATGGTGTGAAGCCGCACGGCCCCGGGTGGGGCTGGATCTGAGACAGGTCCCGCTGCTCCTGGCAACCAGCAGAGGCTCCTCACCTCCCCATCTGGGGCCAGGAGCCAGAGGAGGGGCTCACGCTGCCGGGCAAGCCCATGACAAACTCCAGAGCTGTCAACAGGCGCCTTGCGTGGCCACGGACTCAGTCCCCGCAGGATTCCATGACAAACCAAACCGCAAAACGGCGGGTGGACCCCACCAGATGCACCCTTATGCCCAGAAAGGGGCTGCAGCTGAACAAAACATTAGTTACATCAGAGCCTTCTGCATTCGCCCTTTTCTGAGTGGTTTACATCTTTGTATCTTGTGTAATCTTTTTTTTTTTTTCCCTTAAGTAAAAAACAAACAAACAAAAAACCCCGGTGAAAATGATTTTTCGTTTTAACTGGTTAAACTTTTTCTGTGAAGGGGCAGACGGTCAATATTTACGCTTCTGGGCCAGACAGTTCTGTCTGAATGACTCAGTTGCCGTTGGAACGCGAAAGCGGCCATAAATGATGCTTAAATGGATGCGCGTGGCTGCGTGCCGCTGAAACTTTATTTATAGGCCCTAAAATATGAATTTTATATGATTTTCAGATGTCACAGAATATTCTTGTTCTTTTCATTTTTTTCCATTCAGGTGACCAACTATATACTTCTTATATATATTTGGTCTTTGTTCACAGTTTCTGGCTCACGGTTCCCCAAACCCGTGGAATTTCCTAAATGTTGAGAGCTTAAAAGTGTCTCTTATGTTAAGAAGTGCCTTTTGAGAAGCATTTAAAGAGGCCCCCCCCCAACACACACACACACACACACACACACACACACACACACACACACACACACACTGATTGCCAGGGGAATCAACCATGAATAGAAGGTTGGATTCTTCAGAGGAGAGAGGTAGAGGCTGAATCACCAAGAGCCAACGATTCAATCAACTGCGTCTATGTCACGGAAGCCTCCATAGAAACCCGACAGGATGGGGTTCAGAGAGCTTCCGGGGTGGTAAACACGTGGAGATGTGGGGAGAGCAGTGCACGTGGAGAGGACGAGGAAGCTCGGCGCCCCTTCCCACGTACCTGGCCCTGGGCGTCTCCTCTACATGGCCGCTCCCGAGTTCTATCCTTTTATAATAAATCAGTAATCTAGTGAGTCGAGGGGTTTCCTGAATTCTGTGAGCCGCTCTGGCAAATTAAGGGTGATTAATGGGTTGGTGGCTGGCATGTGAAGTCGGGGGCCGGGGCGGGGGGGGCAGTCTTGTAGGACCGAACCCTCAACCTGTGGAATCTGACGCTATCTCTGGGTAGACAGTGTCAGAATGGAGTTGAATGATAGGACACAATGCTGGTGTCCGAGAATTGTTTGTTGGACAACACCCCACCCCCACCCCGCACACATACATGATGCAGTTGGGTCCAGGAACCAAAGGCATTCTTAGCTCGTGGCTACAGAAAAACAGATGGTGGGCCGGCTTTGGCCCATGGGCCATAATTGGCTGCACGGTGGTTTTAAAAAATACGACAGGTCAGCTATGGTTGGCTGTGTTCTCTCTCTCTTTAAAATGTTTTTTTTTTTCGGGGGGGGACACCTGGTGGCTCAGTCGGTTATGTGTCCGACTTCAGGTCAGGTCATGATCTCCCCGTTTGTGGGTTCAAGCCCCACGTCGGGCTCTGTGCTGACAGCTCGGAGCCCGGAGCCTGCTTCGGATTCTTATGCCTCCCTCTGCTCCCTTCAGCTTCCTCTCCTCCTTCCATTAAAATAAATGCTAAAAAAAAATTTTTTTTTTAGTTTTTTTTCCCCTAATTGTACAGTTAGGGAACAATTACGCTCAGCTACAGGAAACTGGGAGAACACAGGAGAATATCAAGATGGGAATAACCCTCAATAAATAGGTCTTAAACACCTGGGCAGTGAAGCGCCCCAGCAAAGCTGGGGCTGGAAAGTAAGTAGGTCCTGAGGATATCACCCAACACCTGGCGACAGCCACACCTGAAGCCATCCCTGCACTCTGCAGCTCTGATTCTGTGAGCCTGTGGGCCTGCACCGCCCCACGAACCGGATTTGACGCTCTTGGTGATGGCCAGTCTCATGGCTCACCTGCTTGCTTGCAGGAGAAGGCAAAGACGATGATGTCGTCAAAGGACCAGGTGTAGTCGGGGTGAGGAGGGTAGAATGCCAAGTTCCTGGATGCCGCCTTCCGCAGGTCGATCAGGAAGGTCGAGTGCACCATGGGAACCGCAAAGCAGCCCTGACGGTCCCGCTTGCGGATGGGGATGTAGGCAGGTGTGCGTTTGTAGTAGCCCTGCAGGGAGAGGGGCAGTGGGGTCCCAAAGGTGAGGCGGGGGGCCTGGGACAATGGGAGGCATGGAACAACTCGGAGAGCGAGACCCAGATGCCAGCCTCTGGCCGCGGTGGGTATTCTCGCGGAGTGCAAAGCCTGCGTGGTCAAGTTCCCATCACCTGCACCCCACTCCCCCCTCACTAGAACCTCCTTGCAGCTGTGGGGGTGGCAGATAAGGGAAGGGAAGCAACCACCCGCAGACCTAGCTCCACACTTCAGATCCCAGAGGAGCCACTGGGGCCCAGGTGTCGCCAAGGCCCAACCTGGACTCTTGACTTCGGCTCAGGTCATGATCTCAATGTTCGTGAGTTCGAACCCCACGTGGGGCTTGCACGGACAGCACAGAGCCTGCGCTGGATTCTCTGTTTTCCTCTCTCTCTGCCCCTCCCCTGCTAGCACTCTCCCTCTCAAAAATAAAGAAAGATTAAAAAATTAGAAAAAAGAAGAAGAAGAAGAAAGACAGGAGACATTAGGGAAGGAGGAAATCAGAAAGTCAAGGGGCGCCTGGGTGGCGCAGTCGGTTAAGCGTCCGACTTCAGCCAGTGATTCAAGGGTCCGTGAGTTCGAGTCCTCAGGCTCTGGGCTGATGGCTCGGAGCCTGGAGCCTGTTTCCGATTCTGTGTCTCCTCTCTCTGCCTCCCCGTTCATGCTCTGTCTCTGTCCCAAAAATAAATAAACGTTGAAAAAAAAATTAAAAAAAAAAAAAAAAAAAAAAGTCAAGAAAGGGCTGGATCTTTGTGATCCTTTGATTTACACTGGACAACTTCAAGGAAGTTGGGAGGGAATCTTCTAGAAGAGATGACTTAACAGTCGGAGGTTGGTCTCTCTCTTCATCATACCTTTACAAACTGTAATTCTTAGAGTGTAACATTTAGGTTTCTACGACATATTTTTAACAAATAGAAACCGTGAAATTGTTCACTTTAAAATGGTGAGTTTGGGGCGCCTGGGTAGCTGTTGGTTAAGCGTCTGACTCTTGATTTCAGCTCAGGTCATGATCTCACAGTTTGTGGGTTTGAGTCCCACGTCGGGCTCCATGCTGGCAGTGCGGAGCCTGCTTGGGATACTCCCTCTCTCTGCCTCCCCTGTTTGCTCTCTCTCTCAAAATAAATAAAAATAAACAAACAAAGCTGAGTTTTATGTTATGTGAATCACCCAACAATTAAAAAGACAGGCAGAGTCAAGAGGGGTCCCGGCTCCAGCCACCAAACCCCATTCCGCTGGCATGGTCCCCACTCCAGCACCTACCCTTTCACTCCCCCTGGAGTTGCCTGCAACCCCAGCCTCAACCCTGGGGTGGGACTTGTGGCCCAGGCTTGGTCAATCCGAACCTGGCATTTTCCTGGCTTCAGTAACTGGCTCGGGTGTAGGAGGAGACTAGACAGGGACCAAAGTGGACTTTGGCCAGATGGTGCTGGGATCATGCCTCAAGAGTCTGAAAATGAAGCCACCCAAAGGATGGAGGAAGATAGGAATGCTGTTTGAATACCTAGATCAAGTGGTGCCTGAAGTCCTATCCTGGCACCGCCACTTCCTAGCTGTGTGAGCTTAGGCAAGTCAACTCCTCTCTGTGCTTCTATTTCTGCTTTAGTAACTGGGAAGAGGGTGGGGAGGAGACGGCACAATCACAGCCCCTCCCCAGAGGAGCTACTTAGGAATTATCACAATGATGTTGTGAGATGCTCACATGAGGTGGTATGATAAGTTAGACCCTAGCCACAGCCCCCAGTTGCTCACCCCTCCCACCCCCGGCCCACACCCTACCCCAGAAGCCCCCTGACCTGGGAAGTCATCCCACACCAGAAGTTGGAGTACGCAGCCCGCGAATCCAGCATCGGGGCCACCACGGTCTTATTCTCGGCGATGAGGAGGCTCAGTGTGTCAGGGTTGAGGATCAGGTTGTCTGCATCCACAAACTGCAAAACACCCAATACAGCATCAGCATGGGTCACGGGACTGACCTGGGCTGGGCCACGGCTCTGAACAGCCAGAGTCCTACAGGGGAGGGGTGCCTGGGGATCCCGGAGCAGCAGATGGGGCCCTGGAAGCCACCTGGTTCCTCAAGTGACAAGCCAAGTCATGCTCATACAATACACTACGCGGCAAGAGAAGGGACAGACCACACAGCACAAAGCAACATAAATGGGTCCCAGATGTAGCACTGGAAACTTTCAAAACGGACAGTGCTGGAGGACGAGGACAGTCGGAGCAGAGGCCACCTCTGTGCGGAGTGGCTGGGAGGAACACACGCTTCTCCTAACGTCAATTAGATGCTGATAAAAAGCGTATAAAAATCAGACCTTCACATAAGCCTTTTTTTTCCTTTAATGCCTCGAATGTTGGGATAAAAAGATGGTAACTTCCTTGTTGCAGCATCAGATGAAATCTACCAGCCCGGGAACGGCGTCACCGTGGGAGGGGGGGGTGCCTGCTGGTCCCCCCACCCCAAACCACGCATCACCAACACTCTCCAGCAAGGCCACACCAGGATGCTCACCACAGTGTTATTTATCACACAACCCAGGGACGACCCAAGAGTCTGGTGGTGGCGAACCAGCCAGGGGGGTTCGGGCCGCGTCCCATAGCGGAGTGAGCCAAGACGGCTGGGAATCGCGCCGCAGTAAACGATCGGGTAAGGGTGGTCCTGTCCACCGGGGATACGCAGGTCACGATGCGATTCCACACTCCGTGGCGTGCTCCAGGACAACCGGAAACAGGGATGAGACATTTGCACACCCAAGTTCCCAGTGGCATTGGCCACAGCAGCTAAACGGCGGAAATGACCCAAGTGTCCGTCGATGGCAGAAGGGATGAACAAAACGTGGTCCATCCGTTCAAGGAACATGACTCAGCCACAAAAAGGACTAGAGTTCTGGCACACGCTACCACATGGATGGGCCTTGAGAACATGGTGCACGGTGAAGGACGCCAGACACAAAAGGCCACGTGGTGTTATGATTCATTTACATGAAATGTCCAGAACGGGCGCATCTATAGACACAGACAGCAGACTGGTGGGTGCCAGGGGCTGGGGGAGGGGGAGTGGGGAGTGATTGCTCATGGGGACAGGGTCTCCTTCTGGGGTGCTGGGAATGTTCTGGAACTAGACAGAGGTTGTGGTTGCACAACATAATGAATGTACTAAATGCCGCTGAGTTGTCCGCTTTAAAACAGTTAATTTTATGTTATGTAAATTGCACCTCAATTAGAAAACACAGAAAAGCAGCCAGAAAGTGAGTCTCCCTGGGAGGTAAGATTATAAGGTTTACTTGTTTTTTTTTCTTTCCTAAGTTTCTTATTTTTTTCTTGTGTATTTTCACACCAGTAACACCTATATCGCTTGCAAAAGGAGGAAAAAAGAGGGTCCTTTTCTTCCCCTTTCTCTTTCTTCTATTTCTTTCTTTCCTTCCTTCCTTCCTTCCTTCCTTCCTTCCT